ACGAAATTTGAGGAGAAAACCTCAGGTCAATCACTGGTTGAATCTGGAGGATGTCGCACTCGATGTCATCAAGTGTCTCGAGCCAAGTAGGGTCGTAGAAGTTCCGAGGTAGTTTGGGGACCGGAGTATCAACAGGCTCCATTCGCTTGGATGGGATGCGACGATGAGGGAATCGACCGGCTAATGGTCGGTCGTTGGAAGCGAATCTCGTGGACATGTGGAGAGCGTCCAGGGTTTTGAACCAGGCTCGAACTTCAGGCGCAGGATTCCTCCATCTGAGATTGGTAATCTCGAATCGGATAGCGTCATCTTTTGCTTTTCTGCATTCTTCGTCCCCACTCATAGCCTCGTAGGGCATAGAGTTCAAAAGGGGTCTAAATCGTTGCATCGATGCATCATTTCCGTAGTAGTTTGCGGTAGAGCAGCGACGGTGGCGCAGCTTCAATACAAATTCAGATTAAAATGAGCATGCGCTGACCACAAAGGAGTGTGTGTAAAGACGTACCCCTCGTCGACGGTTTTCTGCTGCCTTGGTGGATTGAGTAACAGCTTTGGCTTCTTCGTATTCGCTATCCGTGCCCTCTTGACCACGTTGCTGAGCGATATATTGCGCTTTTAGAGTTGGAAGATGGGCAAAAAAAGCCTTCTCCACCGCCTTGTCATTATGTTCCTGGGAAAGGAAGTCTGGTGTCTCTTGGTATCGCTTTGCAAAAAGATACGCAACGCGTTTGTTCCACTCGGATTTCAGCGAGTTGCCGACTAAATCCAGTTCAAGATCCTCGAGACTAGGGCCATTCGCCATCTTTTTCGATGATTGGAAGAGTTTGAGCCTGCTTTCTGAAGGGACTTTCAAAGGTTGCTGCGGCCGCCCAAGAATGGAGCCCGCCAAATGTCGCACGTTTTGCTATGCACCGTTATTAGAATGGATTCGCGGGGCAGTACGGTCACATACCTTGAGTCTCAGGTGAGACTCGTCATGATGACGAACATTGTATGTGCGAGGTGCATTGTATGTGCGAGGTGTTTCGTCTGATTTTCCCTCCCTGTCATCGTCTGTTCTTTCTGACTCAGGTCTTCCCTTCAGCTCAAGGAGCCTTGGAATCCACGTCGAAAGGGCGGCGAAATCGCGCTTCAAAAGTGTTGTGCTCTATGCAAATCGAACTTAATCAAGGCCGAAAGGGAAGAAAGAAAAAATTTCAGACCTCTGGAGCCTCGCCCAGCGTCTTGTATAGATTTTCCTAAGTTGAGACGGAGGTTAGCTTCATCGTAGGAGCCTAAATAGACAGCGTACCATATACTTCGTGCCCAATTTCTTATCTTCAGCGCAATGTAAGACCTGTTGTTGGATAACACTGAGAAAGATGTTGAGCTCCTTCCGTGTTGGTAATTCTCCAATGTTTGGAGCGGAATTGGATTGATCATCAGCGCTACTTCTGGGAGCGGTGTCGGTGCGGTTCAACCCATCTTTAGCGAGCTGAGCTGGTACATTGTCGCAAGACCCGGACTACAGCCTTGTAAAACGATGATGAATTACTCGCAGAATGGAAGGACTCACGCGGTGGTCAGGTGCGTCAACCTCCATTGGGGATGGAATAAGACCCCGCTCACTATTGCGGGGGGGTGTTCTTGGGTTATTTGAGGACCTTGAAGGCTGAAAGTCGCCGTCCTCGATCCGTACGAGTTGCAACTGGCCCGCGCTGGTCAGAGCCTCGTAGTCATTGTCGGCATGGAGTTGATTAATCTCGTCTTCCCCCTCACTTTGGCCGTCACTGTCGGCATGGAGTTGATCAATCTCGTCTTCCCCCTCACTTTGGCCCCCTCCCACCTCACTTTGGCTCCCTCCCACCTCGCCATCACTCTCTTCTCCTCGGATTTGGCTCTCCTCTCCCTCACTTTGACTGTCTTCATCCATATGATTCGCTCCGCTTTGCCACACAGCGACCCTACTTGAATCCCTCTGCTCCCCATCCTCGTCCACGCTCGGTTGGCTCTCCCCCCCCTCGCTTTGACTATCTTCATCCACATCATTCACTCCGCTTTGCCCCACAGCTGCCATACTTGGACCCATCTGTCCCCCATCCTTGTCCACATTCACTAAGGCTTGACTCTGGAGGAATTTCTCGGCTTCTGATTGTTCGAATTCTACAACTCGATTGCATTGATGTGATAACGGAAGGATAGAAGAAGAGACATCAAGCTGGGCAGGACGTGGTGGTTCAGTGACGGGTTTGGAAGATATGGTATCAGACAGAGACCGTTGTTCCTGAGGGGAATCAGATTCTCTGGCAGGTGGTTCAGAACCAAATCGGGAGGACATTGGGCTTTGTTCAGGCTGGCGTTGATGCATGTGCCGCCAACGTCGCTCCGCATGAAGTCGCTCCACAATGTCGAGTTTGCGACTTGCAAGAAGGGTTTCTCGTCGGAAACATCGAGGAGTCGGAGCCGGTGGAAGGGGGTCAAGTTTCAGCCGCTTGGATGGATTATCTATCCCTTGAGGGTTATGAAGAGAGCCGGGGAGGGGTAAAGCGCGGCCCAGTCGTTGTGCTTTGATTGTTTGGATTAAGCTGAAAGGTTGGAACTCTCCCAAGGATGAGGGAGCTGGGGTGACGTTTTCTCCGACCGGCGGCGGTGTTGTAGAGCGTCGG